GAAGAGAGGGTGGATAAGAGGGTGGCAGAGGAAGGCAGGGTAGAAGAGAGGGTGATCATGATGGGAAAAGTTAGAAGCTATGAATAAGACATAGTCGCAGATAGAAGAAGGCTGGGGGGGGGGGAAGACAGAGATGGAGAGTGGGTGGAGCAGAGGGAGGACAGCGAGGGAAGAGGAAACAATGAAATAAGGGCAGAGGTAAAAAAGGGAGAGAACAAAAGGAGAAATATAACTATAAGATGAAGGGAGAGCAGAAAAAACTGAAAATAAGGGAGAGAGGGAAACTGGGGAAGAGAAAGGGATAGCATAAAAAAAAGTTATAAAAGGAGGAAGCTGAAAGAGAGGCATTATCTTTCTATTTACTATTGTTACTGAATTCTCTCATCCTTGATTTATAAATACATGTAAATCTCAGTAAGAAAATATGAAAACCAGACAAAAGATTTCAGATAGTATGTACTTTCCGATAACTAGCAAGGGTTACAGCGCTCTTATGCCAGCCTAAATTCATATTCGACTACTTATCAGGTTCGAATGGAGAGTAATTGTTTACCACCATGTTCTGAGGTTTAGTAGCACCCTGCTACTCCCTGTTGTGACTTTGGTTGGGGAAGTAGAGTAGTGCTGCATTGTGTTGTCTAAATATAAGTTCAAGTGTAGTGTTGAGCAAGTGTATACATGCAGAGTGAGAATCAAAGATTTCTTTCAATTTTCTAAATGACATAAAACAATGTAAGGATATTTTGCAATGATGTGCTACAGCACCATAATTAAAAATCATAAACTACAGGAAATGAGAAATTTCCAAAGTGTATTTTACTATATGATAATCCCTGAGCACTCTTCTCCATCCACATTGTGCTTGGGGTTACCAACCTACACATGTAATACAACCTTTCAAGGTTCAAACACAGCAACACAAATATACAAAGATGACTTCGTCTTCCAAGCTCAGGAGGAATATATGGCACTTTATATGAAGAAAAATGCCAAAAATGGGACTTTGATTGTTTGCCACCTATTGTGTGGGTTTATACTGGGTTAATTAACAATTTATCATAGTCACTGCTATTACTCATCTATTTTCCTTGAAAGCAGAGTATTCCCTTGGTGCTGGGAAATGTCTGTGGACATATGGTTGACCACTGTCAGCCTTTACTCACCCTGTCCAAACCTTACAAGCCTCCCCTCTCCCTCCTACAACACCATACTCCACCCCAGCTCTTGTCTGTGTCAAACTCTCCATGTTGCCAGCTGCAAAAGAACTCATACACCACCACCTTCTGTTTGGTACACTTTTCGTTCAACTATGTCAAGGAAGTATTAAATGTCTACATTTGTGGGAGTCACCAAGGGGTAGAGCTGTGGATTTATTGATGTTTCGTATGAACGCTTCAACTTTCTGAAATATTCCAATTTAACATTTCTTACTACAAATTCTTTTCCACCAGTTAGAAATGAAGCTAAAAAAAAGAAAGAAAGAAAGAAAAAAAACTTATTTTTATTTTTAAAAATTTACGACTTTTTCTAGTTATATTTCAGACATGCAATATATGAATGATTTTATCTTATAATTTGTATCTTTCTGTATCCTATTTTGTGTATTATGGATACTTGTAAAAAATGAAGTTGACTGACTGTCCCAGGAGGAGGGGATAAAACTGATAAAAGTTAATGAAGAGATGTTTTTAATACTGGGATATTGTGCAAATTTTTTCTAACATCTTTTGCAGCCAAATTTATGTGGGTATGCAATCAGGGACAGGGTATGGTAATGTGTCCTGCATTTATCATAACTATCTTTCTTTATCATCATTTTCATTTTCAGTATTATCATCATTATTTTCATGAATGACTCTAGTATAAAGAAAGTATTCAAAGAAATCCTTGTTTGGTATTTCTGACATTTGGAGGGAAAAAGGTGGAAAATTTTCTTAATCCAAAACAAGAAGGTTCTGTAAATCTTCATAAACTTTCCAATGATTTACTAAAATGTCTAGTACGAAACTTAAAGACTGTAGTTGCTAGAGAAAAAAAAAAAATCTACTTCCCTTTCAACTGTGGTTTGTTGCAAGATTGGTAAACAGGTCTATAAAAAAAGGAAAAGGAAAAAAAAGGAAAATGGAAAAGAAAAGGAAAAAAAGGGAAAAGGTTGTGAATTTGGGGCAGTTCCTAACCTTAGCACCAAGAATGTTACATGAATGTGATTTTTGCATGCCTCAGGCCACTCTATTTGTGTTTTCTTACATGTAAATGTACTAACTTGTGTATGTGTTTATATGGATATACAGGTATACATGTACATATATATGCACATGTGCAGGAAATCCATTACTAAGCTGTTGGGTGGTCTGGGATTATGCCCTTATTACACTACTTAATTTTTCCTAGCTGTTTAAAACTCATCTTTAATCCACCAACCCTAATCACTACTAGGATGCTGGTCCCTTTAGTAAAACACAATTCAGTTCAGACATCAGCAGAGAAACATCTCCGGTTAATCAAGTGTGGGCTTTGAATCTTATTACAGTTTCTTTTGTGTGTGTTTTTTGCTATCAATCCTTAAATCTCCCAACAATAAATCAATAATAACCTAGTGTTGGCTCCATTGCTTGGATCATGTCTGCTACTAAATAAATGATGATGATCTAGAATGGCTAACTATTCACATTTACTGTTGGGGAACTTTCTTTCAAACATCAACAATTCAATTATATACTCAATTCCCTAATCCCAAAAGTTGTTATAATAGCTAACAGGATCTTGTTCATAACAATATAAAATAACATTACACAAATAAGAGTGCTACTGACTTGTTTAATTCCACAAAAAAGTCAAGTATTACAGAATGAAACATCATATCACAATATATCTTTATTGTAGATATAAAAAAATCCACTTACTTTGTGAAATCTTCATTAAGACAATGGTTTTATTTGTACTGAATACTTTTTGTTCCTATCTATTAACAATCTAACTCATCTTTTAGTGACTGTAAAGACTTCATATCTATGATTAATCCCTGGGAGAGTATGCAATTTAGTAAGTGACCCAAGAGCACCAAACTGAAGCTGAGGGCAAGCATAAAATATTCGGCGCACCCTTGAATGCAAAAGCGCCATGGCACACATCATGCATGGTTCATGACTTATATACACATCAAATCCAGTGCATATGTATGATATACTTTCACATGCACTGTTACAGTCCATACTCTGAGAAGCACATATAGGGTTACTGGTTACATTATTCTGGGCATTAAGATCAGTTGTATTATTGCCATTATTTTTTTCCTTGGACTTCAGGACTTCATTTTCATCTGTTGGCTTTGATACATCAGTCCCTGCTTCTAATTCACCATTTTCAGAATCTACAGAAAGTAATTCATCATCAATTTGTGATGACAACTTCTGCTTTGGCCATGAACCGCCTCCTTGCTGATGGGATACATCATCAATAGCCAACATTACAGCATGTTGCAATGGGTGTCTGTGCCTAGCATCAACGCCTTTACCAACTATAGTACCTTTCAGATCATTCACTATAATTGTTCCAATGGCTGGGGCCCCATTTTTGCTGGCTAAGTGACTTAATTGGATTGCTTTATTCATGTAGTGGACAATCAACTTCATCTCTTCCTCACTGAAGAAATTGGAAGAAGAAAGCTGTGTAAGATAGCTATCTTCATGGAATGTGCAGGGCCAATACAAGGCTGCCTGATCATATATTTTCCTTATCCTTGGTGCATACTTGGCCACTTTGGAGGCAAACACCTGTTCCTCAAACAAGGAAATGTCAATGTCATTCTCCTTAAGCCTGGTCAAAACTTTGGCAGAATCATCTGCATTCAGCATGTTTATATTATCATCCTCCCAGTGCTCCACAAATGGAATGCCAAAATTTTCCAAGTAGTCCAAGTATACAACCATTGCATCCTCCCTTCCAAGTTTAGTTTCTGAAATGTCTTCACCTGCTTCTGTACATGAAACAATCTTCTTCACTCTTTTCAAGTGACTTAGCGAGGGAACTGGCAGCTTGATTGCCAGTTCCTTGACTGCACGTGATATCAGCTTCTTCTCTTTAACCTGCAGAACTGCAACTTGTACTAGGTCCACCAGTCCATGCATGCTCTCTTGTAGGACTGCACGCACATTCACCTCAGGAGGAAGGAACGACAAAACTGGGGTGCTATCAACATCCATTTTACGTTTCTTTTTCTTGGGACTGACCTGCAAGTAACACATGTCCTCACTCTTCATCTGCTCAGTTGCAATCATGCATATTAACTAATGAGTACTTCAGTAAATAAATTTATCTTTTACAATCCAACAATTACAACTGCTTAGCCTCAACTAATAAAGAACTTAGAAGCAAAATAGTTCCTTAAACAATAAGGAAATGCTGATAAAATGATATGTCTTATTCACTGGCTCCCAGCTACTCAAACATGTTGCCATTACAAATCTAAAGAGCAGAAAGAAATTTCACAAATGAAAATTATCTACTGTCAAATATGAACAATTCTGTGGGGTTTTATACAGCAACAGTGCACTTATGACTTAAATGCATATAGAATATAAATATCCAAACATCAAATAGCTATAAAACGAATCTCAATTAGACTTTTGTCTGATGTACAGTATTTGATAGGTAGAAAGTTAACATTTCCATTTTCATATAAAATTACAATGTACATATAAATTCTGTACATACAAAGAAAAAATCAACACTATATGAGTCTTTGAACATCACAAGGTATATTAATTATTCCACCATACATGTCAACTAACTTAACTTAGGAAGACTCTCTATTCTATGCTTTGATGTACAAAGAATAATATTGATGATACTATTATAAAAATATCAAATAAAAAAACTACCTATAAAATGCCTATAATAGAATAATTAAGTAATTTCTTTCAAATCCCCTCTTCCACAAAAATATATGATTAAACAATAAATCTCAGTAACATATAACATGTATGTTCCTATATGAATCTTCTTAATGAAACCTTCTCTTTTTCTCTTTTCTATTTTTACTTTCCAAAACATGCAATAATTACTGTGTTTTTAGTGTGACTCCCCATGCTCTGAGAGCAAATCTTGCCCTTCTGATAACCAAGCATTTCCTAAAATAATCTCTGAAATAATAAACCTATCATACACACAAAACAACAATGATGGTAGTAGTTACAAAACAATGCAACAAAAAACAAACAAGATCAAGAAAATAATGTAAATTAATATGATACATATTACTCTGTGATAGTCCCTCATGGATGAGACAACTGACTAAAATAATTTTTAAAGAAAGCCAACTTCAACCAAAGTTTCACCTTACTCCCCATTTATAAGATATACACAGGCATACAACCTAACCACAACTACACTATACCAGATCTGCAACTGTTGTAAATTGAATGGCAGCAAATGGGAATTTGGCAAAGAGCACCTAAAATTATTTTCTATCTCAGCTTAAAGGTCTGATAATGATGAGTATATTTCTTAGCATAATACAATACATTACTTGTAACAATTCCACTTACAGATGTAGTATCCTGGGTCTATTGTGTCATCATCAAAAAGAAAACAAATTATAAAGTGAAAAGTTTGGATACACAAATGGAATACATACTACCACTCACACCATATGAGTGGGATTGGTCAAATCTATATGATCACAAACACATGGAGAGACACATTATGAAAAAAGATAAGAAGAAATCAGAAGAGAAGATAAGAGATATATACAGTTGGGAAGAAAAGAACATAAATGGGGTGGGAAAAAAAAAGTACAAATGAAAAAGTGAGAACGTGGGAAAAATTAACACAAAAAAGGTTTACCATCTACAAAATGAATTAAGTCCCACACCCACCTTCTCTTGCTCTGGGTCATCCTCAGCCGAATCAGGGAACTCTGTAAAGTGGATGGTTTGTTCATGCTGACTGCCACCTCCTGCCCCAGACCCTACAGGTTGCACACGAGCATCACCAAAATCTGCCAAAAGAATATGTAGTTACTCAAACTGAATTATATTTCACAAAATGAATTGCATTAATATGTGGGCAGGCACACGTGCATGCAACCACCCACACCCACACCCACACATACATATGTGCATGCACACATATTTCCAAAGATATAAACACAGACATACATAGATATATACACACACATGCATATCCACATTTGCAAAAATACACGTACATATGTACATGCTAACATATGCACGTCCAAAAACACAAAGGTACATACAATACACACATACACATACACACACACACACACACACACACACACACACACACACACACACAAAATTTAACAAACAATAAAAAATATTTTTTGAACTCTGTACCAATATATAAATGAAATACAGTCATACACATGCACAGGTACCAGCACAAAGACATACACATACACATACACAAATACACTCACACACACAAGCATACATATCCACACTCAAACGTATGTATGCACACACATACATATGTACCATGCATATATATATATATATATATATAATATATATATATATATATATATATATATATATATATATATATATATATATATATATATATATATATATATATATATATACATATACATATATAATATATTATATAATATATATATATATATATATATATTATATAATATATATATATATTATATATATATATATATAAATGCACACATACACACAGACATATATATGTACACAATTCACTAAACAATCTTACTCAAAATGTTTTTAAAACTGTCAATAAATCCTGGTAGTGAATTCCTTATTTTGAAAGTAATATAATTTCAGGTTTAGTGGGGTAGTGTTAAAGTTTAGTGTGAAAATGAATAAATAAACAAACAAAAGATATTGGGATTACCAACATTTTTCAAATTCTCCCTTGTCTGTTTATTTTTAATAAGTTATATTTCGGAATTTATCATTTGCCTTCAAAAGAAAAGAAAGAAAGAAAAAAATAAATATACAATCATTTCTTACCAAACATAATTAGGTTGTTCACTTCTATCGAAAAAATCTCAATGGTCTTATCACTTCTAATTGTATCCCCTTATATATAAATCCATCTCCTCAGTTTCTGTTGCCTTGTATCAACTGAATCAAATGTCTACCCCTTCAACATTTTCATCAATACCTATCATTAACTTAACATACACTTCAAGGTCCTATACAGGAGTCAATACCCAATAACAGACAGTAATCTCTCACTCATTCTCTCTCTCACACACTCACACTCACACACACACACACACACACACACACACACACACACACACACACACACACACACACACACACACACACACACACACACACACACACACACACACACACACACCACACACACACACACACACACACACACCACACACCACACACACACACACACACACACACACACACACACACACACATCAACACACACACACACACTCATACACACACACACTCATACACACACACACATACACACACACACTCATACACACACACACTCATACACTCACACACACACACACACACATCAATTAAATTTGAGTTTGTGTAGCCAATCAGGATCACCTGGCAGGCATGTGTGTATCATGAACACCAAATCAATGACAAGTTGCAGTGTCGCAAGTGCTCTGCACCACCAAGCCATATGATTTTTACTGTTGATGAAAGCAAAATAGTTAGCCCTAAAGCAGTTACATCAGTATAACTATTGAATAACTTATTTCATAGAATAAAAGTATTAATCAAACTTTATACTTCTAATATCATTAGAGATCTGCTTGACCGAGAGTATCATAAAATAAGGAATAACCTAAGATATATCTATATAAACCTTATTCTGCTTATACTCATTAAACTTAATAATCTTGCATTCATAGAAATAAATTTTTATCTTGCAGCCATGGTACAGTATAACATCCTAGTCTATGAAAATAGAACACAATCACAATACTCTATAATTATTTTTTTCTGTATCTAGTTCAGTTAAAAACTCAAGTATAGCCAATGCCCTTCCCTGTACACAGAAAAATATCCAAGTCTCTAAGAGAAATCTTTTATGTATAAGCTCATCAGTATCTTTCACTATCCTCAATGCTGGTCTCTTCAGTTCTTAGTAGTTTCTTTCTGTTCTTCCATCATTTAGTATGAATTTTATCCTTCTACCCCTTCATTTAGGCTTAAAAACTATTTCTCATCCATTCTATGCATGGTCTATCATCTACACTTTTAACTGGGGATAGGAGTTATTTCCTGCTTCAAGGAAAAGTAAGCATTTCTATCTAATTATATTTGGATTTATCACAAGAAATATTCACATACATAATCAATTTATCTTTCATATCATTCAGACTTTTTACACACATACTTCTATCTACATCATCACTTTCTTGCATTTTTACAGCCAGCTTTACTTTGCTCATTTCTCTGATTTTCTTATTCATTCAATCTCAATTTTTGTTTCTGTAACTAATTTATTTCACAGAAAAATTGTGTCACCATCATCTCAACTTTGCAATCTTTGCAATTCTCACCATCCAATTTATACTACTATTATTAATACAATCCTATACAAAGTGACAATGTTCTCTCTGCCTTTCTCTATTATCTAAAAACACATCTATAGACTACACTTGACTAAAATACACTCCATACAATGGAGTATCCCCATTGCCAATCCTTTAACTTTGCCACAAACAATATGATGCCAATTCCTCTAGTTACACTTTTAATTAGTTCTCGAGGGAGAAAATAAAAGTAGGGAGGAGGGGGGATAAGGAATACCTAGGGAAACATGACAGATAAAGTGATACTTATGCATGAACACATGCAAAAGTATGTACATATATCATATAATGTCTGTGTATGCATATCTCTCTCTCTCTCTCATCCTATATTCTCTCTCTCTCTCTCTCTCTCTCTCTCATTCACTCTTTCTCTCTCTCTCCTATACTCTCTCTCTCTCTCTCTCTCTCTCTCTCTCTCTCTCTCTCTCTCTCCTCTCTCTCTCTCTCTCTCTCTCTCTCTCTCTCTCATCCTACACTCTTTCTCTCTCTCTCTCTCTCTATCTCACCCTACTTTCTCTCTTTCATCCTACTCTCTCTCTCTCTCTATCTCTCTCTTATCCTACACTCTTTCTCTCTCTCTCTCTCTCATCCTACACTTTCTCTCTCTCTCTCTCATCCTACACTTTCTCTCTCTCTCATCCTACACTATCTCTCTCTCTCTCTCTCATCCTATACTCTTTCTCTCTCTCTCATCCTAAACTCTTTCTCTCTCTCTCTCTCTTCATCCTCTCTCTCTCTCTCTCTCTCTCTCCTCTCTCTCTCTCTCTCTCTCTCTCTCTCATCCTAAACTCTTCTCTCTCTCTCTCATCCTCTTTCTCTCTCCTCTCTCTCTCTCTCTCTCTCTCTCTCTCTCTCTCTCTCTCTCTCATCTCATACTCTCTCTCACTCTCATCCTATACTATTTCTCTCTCTCTCTCTCATCCTATACTCTTTCTCTTTCTATCTCTCTCTTACCCTATACTCTTTCTCTCTCTCTCTCTCCCTCTCTTTCTTCCTCACTCTCTCCCTCTCTCTCTTCCTCACTCTCTCCCTCTCCCTCTCACCCTATACTCTTTACTCTCTTCTCCCTAACATCCTATTCCCTCTTACTATATTCTCTATTCCCCTTTCTCTAACATCCTACACTCTCTACTCCTTAACATCACATACTCTCTAATCTCTGTCCTCATTCTTTACTCTCCACTCTCTATCATCATATACTCTCTATTCTCTTCTGACATCCTATACTCTCTACTGTTACATCCTATATGCTCTACTCTCGCTATACTCTCTACTCTTTATAATCACTCTCACTCACGCACTCTCTTTCTCTTCCTTTCTGTGATAATCTGACACTGTCTGTCTCCCTTTCCCTTTTTTCTGTCTCAGCAAATATTCAAACATCCCAATCATGTCTCAAAACTGAACTGCAGATAAAGATGAAACTTTCAAAAGAAAGAAAGATGAAAAAGAAGAAAAAAAATCTCCATTTTGCCCATTCATTCATGCCTGTACACACGTTGTCTCCCTACCCTGAAACTGCAGATCGACGCCAAGTCCTTGTGGATCATTCTGGAAGGAGAAGTTGAGAGTTAGGGTACATCCAATAAAGTCAATACCAGCTGCTTGTGGGAGGGAGAGGGAGAGTGATTGCTATCTATTTTGTTAATTTTTTACTGGCTGTATATCATAAAGTTTTAATAATCAAACAAAAATAACCTAATTATCTTTAGAAAGGGGAGAGGAGAGGGAGAGGGAAAGGGGGAGGAGAAGGAGAGAGGAAGGGTGGAGAGGGGGGGAGAGTGGTGGAGGGGGGAGGGTGGGAGGGGAGAAGGGTGGTGGGAGGGGGGGAGAGGGGTGGGGGTGGAGGGGGAGAAGTGGGGGTGGAGGGGAAAAGGGGTGGTGGAGGGGGAGGGTAGGTGGAGGGGGGAGAGGGTAGGTGGGGAGAGGGTATTGGGAGGGGAGAGGGTAGGTGGGAGGGGGGGGGGGGGGTAGGTGGGAGGGGGAGGGGGTGAGGAGGGGGAGAGGAGAGGAGGGAGGGAAGGAGGAGAGGGGAAGGGAGGGAGGGAGGAGGAGAGGAGAGGAGAGAGAGAGGAAGAGAGAGGAGAGAGAGAGATGAGAGAGAGAGAGAGAGAGAGAGAGAGAGAGAGAGAGAGGAGAGGAGAGAAGAGAAGAGGGAGGAGAGAGGGGGGAAAGAGAGGTGAGGGGAAGAGAGGGGTGAGGGAGAGAAAGAGGGGAGGGGAAGAGAGAGGAGGGGCGGAGGGGAGGGGGAGAGAGAGAGGGGAGGGGAGAGATAGAGGGGAGGGGAGAGAGAGAGGCGGGAGGGGAGAGAGAGGGAGAGAGAGAGTTGGAGGGATAGGAGGGAGGTAGAGGAGAGGAGGAGAGAGAGAGAGAGAGAGAGGAGAGAGAGAGAGAGAGAGAGAGAGAAGAGAGAGGAGAGAGAGAGAGAGAGAGAGAGAGAAGAGAAGAGAGAGAGAGAAAAGAGAGAGAGAAGAGAGAAGAGAGAGAAGAGAGAGAGAGAGAGAGAGAGAGAGAGAGAGAGAGAGAGAGAGAGAAAGAGAGAGAGAGACACACAGAAAGAGAATGAAAAAAAGAATAGAGAAGAGAAAAGAGAAAATGACTAAAAAAATGACAGCAAGAACTATGCCAATATTTTTTGCTATCAATAAATACATCTCATTATAAACACCTTAGAATAATTTCATTCCTAAGTAACAATTCTTGTTCTCACAGCTGAAGAGGGTATGGATTAACAATAGAGAACAATTGGAAATGAGAGTAAGAACATAAGACACTTGGCTTATTTCTGGATTTTCTTCTTGATAATCAACTCAAAATTTGATTTTAACTTTCACAGAAAAATGCATGTCAAGATAGTTTTTGATCACTTTCGATCTTTTATTGGCGCATTACAAGACCCCTGTGCTTTGGGTTTCATATAAATGCAAATCACAAGTATTGTCAACAAGTAATAAATTAAAGAATATTATGACTTTGACACAATAGAATCTGAACAGTATTGCAAAAATACTTTGGTCATTTTGCAATTCATCAAGAAAAAACAGTACACCTATGGCATATCAATTTCAAAATAAAAATAAAGAAGATAGCATTATCATAAATATCAAACAGTCATATGTGATGTTATACATCAAGCAGCCAATCAAAATGTTCCCTTGATCTCAATCCAGCTCTGCCAAATTACCTGGTGTATATGAATTCACATAACCAAAGATGATACTGCATAATAATAGTAAAATTTTGTCTCTATGTGAATGTTTAAATCTCCCTGTCAATGCTCTATAAGGAAACATTTCAAGCTCGGTCTAACAAGAATATACCTGATAGATACTTGGTGAATGAGACCAATCCCATCACCATATAAACAATATATGATATTAAATACCTCAGGTATTTACAATGTCCAATCAAAATATCTTACATGAAAAATACTCTCTTCAAACACCTGACATGTTTATCATATAATGCCAAAAAACATGGTGACATGTTGATCATACAAATGCTATAAACCATGTAGACATATTGAAAATGCCAATGCCAGAAACCATGTTAACATGTTCACCAGGCAAATGCTAGACACCATGTTGACACATTGAAAATGCCAATATTAAATCCATGTTGACATGTTCACCATGCAAATGCTAGAAACCATGTTGATATAGAGACAATACAAAGCATGTTGAAATAATGACAAAACAAATGCTAGAAATCATGTTGATATATAGACAATACAAATGCCAGAAAACATGTTGAAATAAAGACAATACAAATGCCATGTTGAAATAAAACAATACAAATGACCATGTTGATATAGAGAAAATACAAATGCCAGAAACCATGTTGAAATAATGACAATACAAATGCTAGAAACCATGTTGATATATAGACATTGCAAAGGTCAGAAACCATACAAATGAACCCATACTTATTACATATTTGAGAGCAGTTCATGTAAGTACACAACAAAAGTGCTTCCTAAAAACATGACAGTTAATTTTTGCCTTGTACTCACTTTGACTCATAATGTGTCCAACTTGGTGAGATGTGATAAACCTCTACTGATATAGTGGTAATACTATCTATTAATACCTTGCCACACTGCACAAATAAAATGATGTCATTTGCCTAATCACTTGCTATTTTCAGACCTTCTGATTTGAATCTGAAGAAATACCAACCTTAACTAGATAACTTAAAAAAATCTTAGAATAGGTCTGCATGTAACCCACTAAATTGTTTATCAATGGATTCTTATTAAGGTATTTTATATAAAAAGTGTAGTAGTAATAGTCACTGGAACTAGTAAGCACAATATAAATTGCTCAGTATTTTAGTAATTCGTACAATGAAAAAATCAAGACCAAGTGAGAGATGTTTACCTCGTATAGGACTGCATATATCAGAGGTCTTTGTTAATCTAGAGGAAATCAAATTTTAAAGAGCAAATATCAGATGTTACCAAAATTGAAGAACTACACATGGTCTCTTCAACAAAGTCAAACATAAAGTGTGGAAACATATAATTAAGTTAAATTTAATAAGTATAGGTTGATATTTCTGTTTTTTCAGAATACTGATTGCACCTTTCAGAAGCAAAATTTATTAACAGTACTACTTATGTTAAACATTTCACAACTGGAGGTTTATTGACTTCACAACCACCCATACACACTGCGACCTTTAACCAAAAGGTAAACAATTAACCCAATCATGCCGAGTGTCACATATACAAGACACCGGAAAAAATAAACATTGCCGGGCGTCCCGCCAGTGTGACGCTGTATCGGGGCTGCGCTCCGTCGCAGTAGCTGCACGCAGACGGCGGGCGGACAGACTCTGGGGAAGCTCCCGCCGCCGATTTTGTAGCCGCCCGGAATTTGTTTATTTTGGCTACAAAATGTACCCGGCATGAGTGGGTTAAGAAACAGTCCCATTCTGGAAAGGCTGGTGTTATGCATATGGCAGCTGCATCCAATTTCTGGCAGTTAGGTGTATGGCATATATAAGAATATAAGCATATTAATATAATTTCCAGGTATTTAATCACAAACCTAAACTAACCTAAACTAAACTTTCCTAACTGAAAGTGGTATCAACCCTTTCATGTTGAAACGCCACCACCTTCTCTATTTCCCCAAACATGCGTATAACAACAATAGGGGGCTTTTCTGCCATCTTCATAATCACTTTCTTCTAGAAAAAATGGTCAGTAACTTGCCTGTGTCATTTCTGGCAAAAAACTCTCATTGTACAATTTATACAAATATCTTGACAGCTGTATTAACTCTCAATTATTTTACAGAATTAACAAAACTGTAAGAGGAAATAATGTCACGTGCAATACTGCCACAAAAACTGTAACCAAAGAAACCCTATTTTCCTATTTAATGGTATTTTCTTCCTATCCTTTGTTTACTCAACATCTCAAAATAACCCAAATCAACCTGACACTATACATAAACGTGTAATTCTTATGCCAAACACAACAACGACATAAATTCATTTACGACCAAACAGTCAACTTATCTTATTTATTGACATCACAGCTGATGACGTTGGCGAAGTTGACAAGGCCTAATGTATTATTTTACGAATAATGACATTCCACCATGAAATACATACCTACTTAAATATCAGTTTCGGCACTAGCTATCCTCTAAACAAGTCGTCATCTTTACATAGCTGTAAGATCAATTTTAATCGTGAATTTACCTGTAAATCAAGAACCGCAAAATCCTTCGACGTCGCCATCGTGGATCACTGGTGACGTACATGTCAACAAACGATTACTTAACGTTGGATTTTCTCACGGGATCACATTACGGTACAAGTTTATTTTTCCTGGATTATAGTTATTTTTTCCTGATCTTGCCTTGATTCATTGTATTTTAAGAAATTATAAATATCTATCTAACTGCTTTAAACTTTATTCTAACACGCTCACATTATCATAACTTCTTTATGAATATTTGTTTTACAATCGATTTATATCTTGATCTGTTTTGATCTAGGGAATTGAAAATACTATCATATACTCAATGTAAATAAATCCTCTAAGACATACAGAAATTTACTCTCCATTAAGCGACCAATTATTACAATCAAGGTTACTGATATCAACCTTCTTTACTTAACAATTTATCAACCTAGTACAAAACAAACAATCTAATGATTAATCAATACATAATTTAGGAAAAAAAGGTGATAAATAGGCATATGTAAAGGGTAAAATCATACATGCAGCAAGTGGTCCAGTTTAATGTTTCAAGTTTGTGCAGATTCAGGTACTTAGATAAAAGGCTTTATACGTGGAAGTTTTCACTGTAAAAGTATCACAATTCCGGTGCAGTCAATAACGAAACTGATCCTAATAAACACTACCTTCATTAATCTGTCTTGCTATGAAACCATTGCATATATGTATATTTTGTTTATTTGTTAGTATACCAACACAAACAATAATTCGTCCATAGTGAATATCAATATATCCAATAATCAAAAAGTTGATTTTCGATCATATTCACTTGCTTGTTAATGTCTTTACCCAAGCATCTTAGAAATATATCCATCTATCCTTCTAATCCATTTTCAAGCTCTTTTATTCATGTGAATACCTATTCTTGAAATGCAGCCATCTATCCTTTCAATATGGTCTATGATTTCATTCATTATCATATCTATCTATCTCTCTTTTTATCGGGCTATCACTGAGCTCATACCCCCGTAATATATTTCTTCCTATTCATTATATCATAACGATCGTACATTCCTACATCTCTTTATTTATCATTCATCAATTCTTTGTTCTAATGGAGTCTTTACTGATCCACCCACTCGTGCATTCACCAATGAATTTATTTTTCCCTCTACTAGTTCATCTATTCACCTGTGTATCGATCTATCCATAAACCATCTATACACCCCCATCATCATCTATCCTTCCATATCGCTTCATCCATCTATACATCTATCATTTATGTATAAATAGAGATATAGAGATATCTGATATGTATCCATCACCCTACCGCCAATCCGCAAATCTGTCTATCCATCTAACCATCCAACTTGTATGTATTTATATCTCCAAACTACATCTATATAACCATTCATTACCTATCTACGTGGATGTATGTATCCATCCATCCATACACTCATGTATCCACTTCTTTAACCAGGATCTATAAATCTATCCATTACATATCCGTGTAGATCTATGTATCCATCTATCCATCCATCATTAACATATCCACCTCTCTAACCACCATCTATATATCCATCTATTACCTGTCAGTTTATCGTCATGTATGCGTCTCTCTATCCATCCATTATTATCTATTCTTCTTCATATATGTATCCATCTTTCCATCATCTATCTATCTGTCTCATGTATGTATGAATCTATCCATCCATCATCGATCTATTCATCTCCATATATCCATATATCTATCCACCGACCATCTATCTGTTCATCTCCATGTATGTATCCATCCCTAATCCATCTATTCATCACCATGTATCCACCCATCTATCCATCCATCATACAAGCACCTATCTACCTAATATATACACACCCAGACCCCCTACCACAATCTATTTACATCCATCTATATAACCATCCGTCATGGATGTATCCTTCTATCCAGCCAATAGATACAAATCCATCTCTCCAACCAGCATCTCTTTGCCCATCTACCATCTACACATCTATCTGTGCATCCATCTATCCATCAATCTACGAGCGGATGAAAGCGTGAAGGTCACTGGACGCACCACCACTCTCATCCGTTGCTCAATCCAACTCTCACATGCTGAGATTTTCACTCTAATTAATGCCATTCATTACCCTCTGTTTGTCCTTCGATTGCTTCCCCTTCGTTTGTTTGTAAGACAATTATCTCTACTTCTTTAAATGGGGTACGTAGATATAGGTAGATATCTGTTTATTAACATACGGTGCGGATATACTGTTATGTGCATATTACGATGCATGTTGTTTTATCTATACTGCAAACATACAAAATTCATACATACGCACTGACTTGCTTGCATGCATACATGATTATATACATTCATGCATATTGAGCACACATGCATACATGCACACATCCTGAAGTAAACTCATAAATGGATATGGATAATCAAAATCTTTTTGAGGTTATCATTTTCCCTTTTCTGTTTTCTTTCCCATAATACACATTTTATCCTGCTTCTCCTTTACCATCTGTCGGGTTCTTCACCGCCATCCGCGTTCCTTTGCAATGCCTTGATTGACCGGAACATTTCCATGTCTTGGCGTTGACTAGCACCGGGAGAAATTTATGTATTACGTGACGTCTCGCGTTGGTTATGGCATCAAGCAATAGAGTATGACCAGTATGCCGTTATCTTGTGTTTTTCTCCCTTTCTTGTGGCATATCATTACTGTATCCTCTTTCTTCGCTTCCCTGGCTATCTGTTTTCAGATAATATTCCCCCTCCCATCTTCCTACGGGTGTGTACACTCTGCTTCTGCTGTCGCCGTCACACTGCCAATATAAGTTTAATATCACCCACATCATGTGTGTTCGTTTCATGATACAAGCAGTTTGTTCATGTGAGTGTTAAAATCTTCTCTCTGTGGCATTCTGGCGTTCTCGCTTGCCTTACTGTTCCCAAAGCAATACCCAGTCGCCTTGCTACTCGAAACTTTCCCCTCCTATCTCCTGCTTCCTGTCCCGTGATAACTGTCTTTGCTATTCCCCCACACTCATTTCTTTCTAATTTCTTCGCTTCTTCACCAGTTTAGGCCTTACGGAAAATCGTAATCATTTGCATTTACTAAAACAAGACGTTTGGTCTACTGTACAGTTTCTTTTCTTAAATATCAATTTTACAGGATGTTAAAAAGCCTGAATAGATCCTGATTAGATA